TGCACTTCCTGCTCAAAAGGTTTTCTGACAGGTAGGGCTGCTGAGTCCAGTAAAGGTGCTTATCCTAACTACAGCTTGACTTCTCATGATCTGGGAGGTGTGGGTTCAAGTCCAGGCTATGTCAACATCCCCAGCTTTCTTCACTTTCCCACTGCCCTCCTGTGTGCATTAAACTCAATTGAGCTTCAAATGATCTTTCTTTATGCCTTTCAGTAACTGTATTCCAAGCTTGTAAAAACATGTTTCCCGTCAGTCAGTGTACACAAATCTATCAGTACATGTTATTTTCAAGAATTAACAACCCTGATCATTTTCCATTTTTTATGCAGATGTCATTTTTTTTTAAGACAAGGCGAGGATGGGGGTTGGAGCTATGGGGCCAGACAACAATTTTTCCCTTTAAGCAACCCTGTTCTTTAAAGGAGACAATACTTTCAAACTGAGTGACTGCTCACTACATGCAGGTATAACACCCATTACATTTAAATGAAAACTGCAGTACCAATTTCTCAGACCAGTACTTAAATCTCAGTAACAAAATTAATTAATTAACATTATAGAAAAACTTCAGTAATTTCGAATTCAGCACAAAATCGTGAACTTTTTGAAAGTACTGTAAGTCGCCATGTTGTCACAAACTCGCATTAGAGGTTCCATGAACACTTCTGTGAAATGGCCCTTCCTGCTCACTAGTCACTGTAATGATGAACGTAATGTGATGAAGGAGCGAATAAGTACAGATTGTGCAGCAGACAATTCACGGCAAAGTGTTCCAGCGTGATCTGTATGCAGAGTTAACAAGTACATAGTATTTGTCTGCAAAACTGTTTTGAAATCAAGAGCAATATTTCTATTGGATTAAAAGAGAGTCTGCTTGTGTACAGAGTAATAGGGCCACCATACATCAGCTCGAAGTTTGAATCGCAGAATATGGCACTGCAAATGTCTAGAAATTATGTCAGTTTTATGATGTAAACTGGAGTTACTGTGCACATTTTACTTTTATTGTCATTTAAAATGCTGATTCTTTTGAACCTCGATATATAAAAATAGAGTTGCAGTTGCCCTTTAAGCAACACACTTTTTTCTGTCTAGGTGTAACCACGTCTTACTTGCTTCAAGGAACACAGAATGTGAATGAAAAAAATCTCAGATCTTAAATACAGTGAAAAGACGGAATCTGGTGTTTTGAGCCCATTCTTTTTTTCTCTAATCATCTGTCTTAATTCAGTGAGAATTGAGTGAGA